TAAGGGAGAGAAAAAAATTTAGGGTAAAATAAAAGGGTTGTGTGTGAGAGAGGGGTAATAAATGAAAAAGGAAAACTTTAAATGGTAAAAGGAGATAAGGATAAGAATTATTTGAATAAAGGGATGTGATTTTTGTTAGCAGACGGTTGGATTTGGTGAAGGAAAAGGTGGGGTACAACTTATACCATTTGACTACCTAAAATTTTACCCTCGCCAACTCTCATTTGCTGCAACATTGAACACAACATTTGATTGCCAAAATCAAGTTGAATGCCACTTAGCATCTATTGAGGAAAAATCACAAAGCTGAATGTGATGCTACAACGAAAACATGTACACAAATTAAAATAAAAATTAAAATGACTATGACATAAAACTAACTAATGTCACAATTGACTTATTAAATGTTGTAAAATTTAAAGATGAGTAGGATCGCTTAGTCTGGTGGAAGAAATTTGTAGGCTCAGTTGTTGGCAATAAAGCTTTAAATGTTGTCCATTGGATTTAAATGTACTTCCATTAGCCAAGTTCTTAATTAGCACAACACCATGAGGAAAGGATTCCACAACTTCAAAAGGTCCAGACCACATTGATTTGAGCTTCCCAAGAAATAGCTTTAGATGAGAGTTGAATAAAAAACATGTTTTCTAACATCGAATTACATTGGCAATATATGTTTGTCATGCCATCTTTTTCTCTTGTCTTTGTAAATACATGCACTCTCATAAGCATCATTCCTCAGCTCTTCTAATTCATCAACATCCATTATTCATTTTTCATTAGTGGCATCCAAATTGAAGTTTAACTGCTTTAGGGCCCATATGACTTTATGTTCGAGTTCTACAAGTAAATGGTAAGCTTTTCCATACACCAAACGATAAGGAGACATTCCCAATGGTGTCTTGAATATTGTCCTATAAGCCCATAATGCTTCCTCAAGATGAAAAGACCAATTATTTTGAGAAGGGTTAACAACCTTCTCAAGAATTTGCTTAATCTCGCGCTCTGAAACCTCAACTTGTCCATTAGTTTATGGATGATATAATGTAACAATCTAATGCTTTACGCCATAGCTATTCAATGATCTAGAAACTTGAGTACCAATGAATTGAGATCCTTCATCGTAGATAAATGAATGCATCGTTACAAAGCGAGTGAAAATATTTTTATGAAGAAACTTTAGTACTACCTTAGCATTGCTGGTTGACAATGCCATAACTTGCACTCATTTCGAAATAAAACCACAACAACTAGAATAAAGAGGTTTTCACACAATGAAGGATAAGAGCCTCTGAAATCTAGCCCCCCATATATCGAATAAATCATTTTCCAAAATAAGCCACATTGACATTTCATTGCGTCGAGAAATGTTGCTTGTTCTTGACATATTCATTTGCATCATTGAATAGCGATGGCCAAAAATAGCCTCGTTGTAAAACTTTGGCCATTGTTCTCATGCTACTGAAATGACCTCCATAAGTAGCATCATGGAAATAGTGAAGAATACTATGATGTTCACTTTCAGGGACACATCTTCACAAAATTTTATCGTTGTATTGCTTGAATAGATATGGCTCTTCCCAATGGTATGCTCGAACATCTCTAAAAAATTTCTTTCGACTTTGGTAAATTTAATTAGGTGGTAACAGCCCACTTACCAAATAATTGACATAATCCACATACCAAGCTAAGACTTCCATAACAAGTAATTATTTATTAGGAAAAGTATCAGGGATTGCCAACATATTCCCATCCTCTTTGTCAGCTTCCAACCGTGAAAAATGATCAGCTACTTGATTCTCAAATCATTTCTTATCCCTTACTTTAATGCAAACTCTTGGAGTAACAATACCCATCTTATTAGCCTCGGCTTACTATCTTTCTTGGCAAACAAATGCCTCAATTTTGAATGATCATTGTAGACAATTACCTTGGTTTCAGCCAGATAGGAGCGAAATTTGTCAAAGGTAAACACCACAACAAGCGACTCTTTTTTCTGTTGTGGTTTAATTTACTTGAGCATCTTGTTAGCATAATGTATAGCATGGAGCATTTTTTCCTTCTATTACCCCAACATTAGCTCAAAGAGTAAATTCCAATCTGGTGCTACTACTATAGGACTAGTGACTAATTTTAGCTTGATTGTTTCAAAGGATTTCAACACTTCATCAACAACCACAAATTTCCTATTGTGCTCCAGCAATGAGCATAATGGTCTAGCAGTCTGGGAAATTATTTTGATGAATCGTAAATAAAAACCAGCATGCTTCAAGAAACTTCTTACTGATTTCACTTTAGTAGGAGGTAGTAGCTTTTCAATAACTTCAACTTTGACTTTTTCAACTTCAATGCCACAGCTAGAGATTCAATGCCCCAACACTATACCTTCAGTCTCCATAAAGTGAAAATTTTCCCAATTTATGACCAAATTGGTCTCTTCACATCACTTTAATACAATAACCAAATGAATATGGAATTAATCAAAATTTTGCCCAAAAACAAAAAAAAAATCATCCATAAATAACTCCAAATAATCTTCAATCATATCGGAGAATATTACCATCATGTAGCACTGAAATGTTGTTGAAGCATTGCACAAACCAAACGACATTCTTTGAAAAGCTAAAGTACCATAAGGGCATGTGAAAGTAGTTTTCTCATGATCATCAAGTGCTATAGAAATTTGGTTGTATCCATTATATCCTTCCAAAAATATATACAGATTCTCCAACAAATGGTGGTTCTTGCTGGCACTAACTCATTCTTTTCATTTGTCATAATAGTAATGCAACCTTTCTTTAAAACATAGTGCAAAGGGCTGACCCAATTGTTGTCTAAAATAAAGTATATGATTCCAACATTCAACCATTTTATAATCTTCTTCATAACTACTTGTATGATTGGATTCAATCTTCGTTGATGCTCAATCGAACTGCTATTTGGGTCAGCCAGTAAAATATTATGCATACAAAATGATGGAGTGATGCCCTTAATATAAATAATATTTCAAGCCATATCCCTCTTGTGTTACTTCAGAACAATAATCAACTTACCTTCTTACGATGTTGTAAGTTGTAATGTCACAATTACTATTAGAATATTATTTTCTCCAATGAATGAATACTTCAAATGCCTTGGTAAAGGCTTCTAATCGAGCATGGATGACTCTTCAATACATGATTTACGAGCTTGAATAGTTCGGTCATGCATGTTTAATGACTCAAAATGTTGGATAAAGTTTCCATAATGTTCTTCATTCTCTTCTTTTGATAACTCTTCAATTACTACAACATTGCTGGTAACATTATCCTTGATGTGACATTCATTACAATGCTCCTATGCAAAAATATCAATAACATCGAGTGAGTAGCATTTAGCACTCTTACTTATATAAAGAGCATTATTCAAAACAGTGAATGTAATATGGTCATCATTTATTCTTATCGTAAGTTCCCTTTTTTCACATCAATTAGTGCTAGCCGGTGGTAAGGAATGGGCAGCCAACTATGATGGGAACATCTTTATCGGTTTCACTATCCAAAATGATGAAATCGATGAGGAATATGAACTTGTCCACTTGGACCAACATGTTCTCTACAATGCGACTAGGATACACGATGGATCTATCAACAAGTTGCAAAGTGACAGAGGTCGGTCTTGATTCGCCGTTTCCAAATTTCTTGAAAACTGAAAACAATATTTGATTTATGCTGGCACCCAAGTTACATATAGCTTTTCCCATAAATTTATCACCAATAATGAAAGAAATAGTGAAACTCCCTGGATCTGTAAGCTTTGGTGGTAATTAACTTGTAGTTATAGCACTACATTATTCGGTAAGAGCAACAGTCTCAAATTCTCCTAGTCTTCTCTTTTTGGATAGAATTTCTTTCATGAATTTGATGTAGCTTGGATTTTTCTTTAGTGCCTCAGTCAATGGAATATTGATTGTTAGTTGGCGAAGTACATTAATAAATGCTCTATATTGATGATCTTTCCTTGAATTTTTGAAATATTGAGGAAATGGTGGAGGCATCATGGGTTCATGTGGCATTGGGGTTGGAGAAACGTTAGACAATATAAGTATTGTTGCTAGTAATGATTCAAGATTATTGTAATATCATGATTTTCTAGTTGTGACATTAACAATGGATGTCTAAATATCAAATTATTTACTTTTTACCTTGTCAAGCTTCCCAATATAGATGTCACTTCGAGTATTAATTGCCTTGCAATGCTCTTTCCCTTGCTACTTGAGATTTTTGGTGTCGCTAGGCAGCATTCCTTGTAGTGGATTGCTGAGAGCATTCACTATTTGGCCTACTTGACTTTCCAAGGCCCTTAATGGAGCTGATTGGCTTGCCATATATTCTCTCATTAAGGCTTCAAGTGAGATTAGATTGGAATGTTGTGTGGAAGATTTGCATTTATAGCTTTGCTTTTGTTATGGGTGTGTAGTCTGATACTGTAATTGAGGATGTAACATTGCTTGCTACTGATTATACTACTATTAATATTGGTAATGTTGTTGTTAAGGATTAGTAACATGCTTCTGTGGTTCTGAAAGTTGGCATTATGGGTATTGCCATATGCATTGTAATTTCTATTATAATTTCTTACATAGAAAATTGACTCAGGATTTGACGACAATCTTAAAAATTATGATCAATTCCACAGTAAACAAAAGAAAGACTAGTGGTAGCTTTTACCTCATAAATTTCCCATGGTTTTTGCAACTTTTTCACCATATCCGTCAATGTTTAAATTTGAGAGGCCATAGAGTTGAATGTGTTAGTGTCCACAGCTTCATTATTTTATATCCTCTCTAGAATATCATAAGATTCATTATATGTTTTATCATGCAAAGCTCCATTTGTTGAAGTATCTACTACCATACGTGTTTTTATATTCAACCCATTATAAAACATATTCATATGAGTCCAATACGTGTTTATCTATTCAACACATTATATAACATATCCATTTGAGTTCAATACAAAAATCCATGCATTTGACATTTTCACATCAAATCCTTAAATTTTTCCTATGCCTCGTATAAGCTTTCATATTCCAACTATTTGAATGAGGTAAGATCATTTTAGAGTTTTGCATTCATGTTGGGAGGGTTGCATTCATTTTAGAGTTTTTGCTAGCTCATTCCATGATGCTATAGCAGCTGGAGGCAGCAGTGTTAACCATACTCTTGCTTTACCTCTTACGGAATAAAGGAAAATATTCAACTTTAAGGCTTTCTCAGGAACTCCTTGTTGCACAAATGAATCACAAACTTCCATAAACAATCAGAGGTGCGCTCTCGGATATTCAGTAATTGACCCACCATATTACCCCATTAAATACAACATCTGTAACATGATCAAATTTAGCTCAAAATTTGCTGCATATATTGTTAGTCGCACAATGCCAAGATATAGATCATTGAGTATAGGCATTACCTGCTCTCGAATGGGTCAGTTGCGTTCATCCATATTGTAAAATTACTACGGTCCAACTCTATTACAAGCTGGTAATTTAGCATTATTCCATGTTGTAGCAAAGATAAGGCATTATGTTGTTCTCTATCCATAAATGCTTGATTTCTAGCAGTTTTTGTTCATTGTCTTCGAAACGTTCTTTCAATCTCTAGATTTAATGGATCTAATTTGTCTCCACTACGTGGCATAAACCAATGAAACTAAAAATTAAGTACCTATAAAAAAGAAATAACCAAATAAGAAAACTATAAAAGAAAATATAAAGTAAAATCGATACTCCCCAGTAATGATGCCAAAAACTTAATGCTACAAAATTGATACAACAATATACGCAAGTGCACGTGTAATAAAACAAGTAATAAAGTGGTATAAAAATAATGTTACAAATGTCAAACCCACAGGGAGAAAATTGATTACGATAGAGTTCATATGTAGAAAAGAATAGTTAAAGTTGATGATTGGCTAACAAAAGTAAAAGGTAGAAATATCAATGTTAAAGAGTAGGGAATGCTATAGTAAATAAGGGATCATTAAAGGCCAATGGACCTAAGATGCTTTTATCATAGGGCTACTATAAAATGTTAATGCTAAAGCTCTATGTTTGTGAGTTATAAAAGAATTAATCACAACTTATTAAACTCTTAACTCTCATTACAAAGCTAATTAATTTAGGAAAAATCTACTTTCGTAACCACATATGTTATGAGTAAGTTAGCAAGCAAAATTAATTAATTTTATCTCTAAAATCAACTAAATATCACATGGATAAAATACTATTATCTCTAATCAGCATTTTATTAAAACGACGGCATCAAAAACATAGTTCAAATAACAAAAATCATAATTCAAGCATTTTATCGAGGATACCCAAAATAAAGTGACAATCATTCAATATCCACAAATATAATTTTTTCTTCTCTCAAATTCAAAACAACAATCCAAATGTTGAACCCTAATCAATCACATTACTCCTTTATTGTTGTTGCACTCCCTGGCAGATGAACTAGGATGCCATCGAGGCTCAAGTATGTGGAGAAAGATGTAAGAGATGAAAATTTGGATTATCATTCAAATGATTTGTTCAAATGATTAGAATATCATTCATATTTATAGGTTAAAGGGATGATCCTTCAACCAATCATCTTTTGCCATAATCCAGGTTATTCTAGAGCCTTGACAACTGTCCTCTTTCAATTGTACCTTCTAAAAGGTTATCCGTTATTCACATGATAAGTGATCAAATACTGTAAAACCACTCAGTATCACGACACAACAACACTTGTAGCTTCAAGCAATGCCAACAACATCAATGAACCCAATTCCAGCATAAAACATAAAAATTAAGCCAACAATTACCAACTTTCATTTATGATGCAAATGATAGAAAATATATATAAAAATGATCCTAAAAATGCTCAAGTTCAAGCTCAACCTAGGTAAAAAAAATACTAAAAAATAACTCTTTCGAAGAGTAATTAGCATGTCAAACATATTTTACCAAGGCAATTTAATTTTAGATATCATGTCTTGTTATTCAACTCTCGTTAAAGCTATTTCATGGGAAACTTTGATCTAGATGGTCTGGTCTATTTGAAGCCCTTAAGGTTTTCCTTCATGGTGCTATGTTGATAAAGTTATTTCCTTAAGTTAATGGGCAACTTTTGAAGCTTTATTTCCAACAACAAAGGCCTCATATTGCTTTTTTCATACTAAGTGAACCTTCCCCTTTTTAATTTCTTATAGTATTTAATAAGTCATATTTGACATTACTTTAGTTTTATTTTTTTACAAATTTTTAATTTTGTTATTTTTGTATAGCTATTTGCTACAACTTTATTTGCAACTTCCATGTTCTTCTATCGTATCTGCTTCCTAGCAATCTCTGCTAGTTTGTGTATCGAATGTTGCATACATCATTACCAATATTAGACAGTTAACTTTCAAATGGGAAAAGGTAAAGGTAAGTTGTTTTCCTTTTTTTTTTAAAGTTCCATCATCACCATCCATCACCACCATTCATTTAAAATTTCAACCTTAACTCTTTAGCCCGAACATTTAGAATTCAAAATAAAACTTCATCTTTTTATCTATGCATATTACATTTAATACACCCCTAACCTTAAAACTCATTACTTACTTTACCTTTGTACTCCCCCTTCAGCCTTTACTTTATCAAAACAAAATACTCAAAGATTTCATATTTTTTCTCTATTTCTTTTCGTTGTTCATCCTCATTCATCAACAAAATCATGAACACCTAAGAATAAGTCTACTACCAAAAGTTCCTGACGACCACTAATTCCACCACCAAAAGATCACCTTGTTTAGCTGTTTGTCCACCAAAATACTAGCGTGATGAGGGATCAATGAAGACCCTGGTGCTCCTGATGCTACACAAACCCCTATACCACATGCAAGCCTTGCTATATTGGAGTTGCCAAATGCTATAACATCGATGGCAGTCAAGCATGATAATCTCAAGTCAATGCTAATTCATATCTTAAAAAACCAATCTCATATGCATAATGCCCAAGTTCAATATTAGATGTATGCCCATGAGCGTGACAAGGCATTTCAGCAAGTGATAACCAAGCAAAGTCCAATTCTCTACCTTTCTATTTTCCATGTTGGATGATTTAGCTCCACTAGCAATGTCAGATGCTAAAGTTAGTTATGCTAACACTAAAGGTTATGAGGATAAGGAGGATAATGCTTTGGATACATATACATCGACATATAAGGTAGAAGAAGACATTGATTTTGAGGAGAAAGATAAAGATATAATAATGTGGTTGATTCAACGTCTACTAAGATACCTGCTGTCGACTCTGAGGATGTCAACATTGATGAAGTTGATGAGGAGTGCACCAACTATCAAGAGAAAGAAACGAGTTTGAAACTAGATGAAAGCAATGACAAACAAGTTGCCCGATGATTCTTGGATTTAAATGATGATAAATTTATGAAAGATGTTCCACCTGCTGCAGAGCATGATTTAAATGTTGATTAAATCATTGAAAGTATTATATAAGAGGTTGAGATAGCTGCTACAGCCAGTCCACCTAAGAAATCTACTCTCGTGCAAGTTGGCGATGTAAGGAACCCCTAAAGGAGCCAAAGATGCAAACCCCTACACGAAAGGAAAATATGTTGTTGTAGCATTACCTACTCCTATTCCTGATGTTGTTGTGGTTAAAACCACATTAGAATTTTTTTAACTTAAAATATCATATCTTTATTAGATGCTATAGCATTTTTTCAAAAAAAAATAAAAAACTAGGAATTAACTTGGAAATTTTGGTATAACTCCAACATAGTCTTAGGAAATAAGTTGGAATGCTCTAATATTAGCTCTAGGAAGATTGTTATAGCATTGAAAATCATTAATTAAGTAGGAACAATTTTCTAACTTAGCTAAGTATTGATTGGATACACTTAGCCTGCACACTACTGCACTCTATGGGTTTTGATTTTATTATGTTGAAATTCTATTCCTTAATTCAACATCACATGTATATTGTATACACTACTGCAACAATGTTCTGAGGCTGAAAAAGGAAATTAAATTTTTGTCTGGTTTTGTGATATTATTCTGTGGCATTACCGTTAGCTTTAGTTGCATTGCATGCATGTTATTGCTTAAGGATAAGTAAATACTTAGGTTTAGGGGTGTGACAACTCTCTAAAAGAGTTATCTTTTAGGATCCTTTTACCTAAGTTAAGTTTGAACTTTAGCATCACTAAGAGCATATTAGGATCACTTGCAAACATTTTTGCATCATTTACAACATGGGAAATAGTTGAGGTGATTTGGGTTGGTTTTGGTTTTATTACAGAAAAATGATACATTGATGTTGTAGCATTGCCTGAAGCTGCAGATAATGTTGTGTAAATGATGTAACAACTGATGAATAACCAGTCGGTTAGGGAATCTTTTGGAATGGACACTGTAAGAGGCAGCTGTCAAATGGTAAAAAATCAAAAGAGACACGGAAGAAAAGTATTGATTGATGGTTGAAATCCTTAGCCTATAAATTGGTGAGCTCTTTACATCATTGGATATCATATTTATTACCTTCAAATATGTTTTCCACTTATTCTACCTTAAGATCATCCATGATAGCTTAAGTCCCACACCAGGGAGTGATGCAGCAGCTGGGGAGCGTTGCCGAGTAGTATCAGTGATCAAGAAGATTTCTTTTATACTTTTGCTCTTCGTTTGATATAGGGAAGTAGAAAAAATATTTGAATGTTAATTAATTTGTTGGGATGATAATTTGGGTTATGAACTTAGCCGTTTGTGGAATGTTTTTATTACATTTTATGTTTTGACCTTATGATATGTGTTGCTACACTTTCAAAGACAGTTGTACAAAAATAATTATCTTCTTGGATGTTTATTGATGATGTTTAGAGATGAAAATCATTAATAGATGTACTACATTTTTTTAGCTTTGGTTTGTTGGAAAGAAAGTTTACGTGTTATATATATGATGTCCAATATCTAGCATTATTAATAGTTTAATTGATTGAGTCAATAATAGTTGATTATTATCTATTAGATTGTATTAATCATTGCTAGATGCATAAACATTTGGTTAATGACATGCTTGTA